CCCACCACCTGCCCTGGTCCCCCTACTCACCGGGCAGAGGGAGAACTGCGGACTCCACGTAGATTCAAACACTGCCGCGCTGCTCTGTGGGGGAGGAGGGAGTGGGGAAGGGGGAGGGACTCTGGCTGCTAGAGGCCCTAGTGGCTGCGAGCGGCTTTCAATCAGGCCCAGCTGTCCAATCAGCCGCGCCGCACTCTGCAAGAGGGGAAGGGGGAAATCCCGGACATTTTTTCTTAATTAGAAATCTCCCCCCTGGACGGCCATTTAACACTGAAAAACCCGGACGGATGGTAACCCTATTTTTGGCCCTTCACCCATCACCAGCCATAGGGCACATAGCTCAAAGGTGGACCGAGCCCATCACTCCGCTCTGGTCCCGTGTGACAGCTAGTCTGGGCCAAATGGGCTGCGGGGAAGGAGAAAGCCCCTCCCCCACGGTGAGGGATCCCTCCAGCACAGGAGCCTCTGGTGCCTCCTCCACGGCAGCTGCACACACAAGGCGTGTTCCTGAGAGGGCTGGGAATGGGGTGGGGGTGGTGAGGGCGGGTGGAAGAGGGAGGGGGTGGACGAGGGATAGAGGGACATGGGCCGTGTAAAGCTGGGCCTCTGACACTCTGCACACTGGGCAAGACACACGGGGGCCATTGTCATAGGGATGTAACTCTGGCTGCTTCAGAACTTCCTCAGCCTGTGCCAAGGTCTGCACCGGCCCCTGCAGCCACAGAACAGCAGAGTCACAAATGGCCCCTCCCCTCTCTCCTTTCACCGGTACAGGAGTGAATCTGGCCCATGGAGCCAACCTTCCCCCCGCCTCAATTTCCACACTGATAAAATTATTTTACTATTATTTCTATTTCTGCCTATGAAGGACGAGGCCCCGCTGTGCTGCTCTCTGTAGAGACACTGAGTAAACAGACCCAACAGCTCACAGTTAGAGCCAGGATTTCACAAACTCTCAACATCCCGTTAGTGTCAAAGGTGTCAAAGTGGGTAAAGTTACTTCTATGCCAAAGTCTTTGTATGGTCTGGGTCTGGATTACGACAAAAGGCAGTAAGTGAACAAGATGAACCAACCAGAGTCTGAAGGGTGGGAGGGGATGATGAGGGAAAAGTAAATCTCTTACAGGTTGTGCGTCCTGGGATAGTTGTGAGGCTGCAAGGATGTTGGCTCCATTGCTAGGAGATGCCTGATTGAGAGGGGAAATAGGTTTCAGACCTCTTTATATTAAATACCTGAGTGTGTCTCTGGGCCTCTCTGTCTGTTTCTCTGTCATAATTATAAAACAGATTCAGAGTGGGACGCTGTTATAAATATGAAAGTCTGAAATCTCACCTCTCTTCTCCTTTCTCATTCCAGACAGTCTGGCATCTGAATTGAAGAGAAAAAGGGGGGAATCATTTGGAGCACACACACAGGGTGAGTTTGCAGGTGAAGATTGTCTTTAAATTATGAGAAAATTCCAGAGAAAACCTCCTCATGACATTGTTGCTAAAGTTACCAAACAAACTGACAGCGACCATGACACACACAGCCCTAAAAATAACACATTAAATTGTAAGGAGATCCAGGGGCACATGTCCCCCCCTACACACACTCCCACTTTTAAAAGTTGGATGACCAGGACAGTTTCCAGCCTCCCCCAGGGCTGAGCTCTGCCCCTAATGCTCTGATTCTCTCTCCCCAGTGAATGTGACTCTGGATCCAGACACCGCTCATCCCAACCTCGTCCTGTCTGAGGATGGGAAAAGTGTGAGATGTGGAGACACTTGGCAGCGACTGCCCAACAACCCTGAGAGATTTGACATTGCATGGTGTGTGCTGGGTTGTGAGGGATTCACCTCAGGGAGACATTGCTGGGAGGTGGAGGTGAGGGGTGGGGGAGGCTGGGCTGTGGGGGTGGCCAGAGTGTCTGCGGGGAGGAAGAGAGGGATCAGACGTAGCCCTGAGGGGGGGATCTGGGCTGTTGGGTGGTGTGGGGGTAAGTTCCAGGCTCTCCCCTCCCCTGGGACCTGCCTGCCTCTGAGCCGGGTCCCCAGCAGGATCCGGGTTTGTCTGGACTGTGACCAGGGGCAGGTGACATTTATGGATGCTAGTGACGAGGCCCTGAGCCTCACTTTCCCGCCGGGCTCCATCCCTGGGGAGAGAATCCGACCCTGGCTCCAGGTCTGGGACACAGACACCTGGCTCCAACTGTGTCCACTTTAATGTCCCAGGTGCAGGTGCTGGGGGAGTGTCATGGGATTTGCTTCCCAACTGGGTTGTGTCCCCCCAATACCCACAGGGAATATCACGCTTCTAGGAAGAGAGTTTCGATTTTAATATGATGTGTCACTTTCCAGCCTGTGCTCTGTCTCTGTCCTGTGCACAGCCATGTCAATCAGGAATTGCTCAGCTGTGCTCTGTGGAGAGGTGACTGGTTGCACAGGGGGCAAGCCATGAAGGGACTCGGGTGTTGCAATGCTGAGCATCACAGTGAGTAGTTTTTATGCAGTGAGAAAATCACAGGAACAACAGCACTGTGACCCTCAGAGCTGTGTCAGGGGCCTAAACTCCCTAGACCAGTGTTTCCCAAAGTGGTACGCATACCCCTGGTGGTACGTGAAAGGGTTTCAAGGAGTATGTGGCAGAATTTCTTAATTTACTTTATCATGTTTTTTTTTTAGCAGCAGAAAACAATTCACTACATTTTAATATATAAGAATGGTGTACACTTGTACAGTAGAAATACACACAGGTATACATTGTAACTAATATGATAACGTGTTCAGAGCTAACCCCCAACCAAAATAACGTCAGTGTATTTTGCTCAAATTTTGTTTTCAGGAAACTATCTGAAGCCAGCTCCAAGAGCTGTTCTTCTTCTGAAGCAGAAAGGTTATTTGGCAATGTTTGAACATTGATGATAAAAGGGTTCCTTATCCATTCAAAGGTGCCGTCCGGTTCAGGAAAATACTTACGAAGATCTTTCTGCAAGCTTTCCAAATGCTGCTTCATGGTTTGCAACACATCACTATCAAGTTTGTTAGTCGAGTTTATTACTAAGTCATGAAGAGATGGAAAGGAATCCAGTTCACAATGACAAAGACGTTTATGCCACAGTTTCAATTTTGCGACCATGGTGCTCACTTTGTCTTGAATATGGAATATGGATATGAGTTTCCTTTGCAAGGATAGATTGAGGTTGTTTAAATGAGCAAAGATATCTGCAATATATGCTAGTTTGCATAGCCATTTCCAGTCATGTATATGGTCTCGCAGGTTAAAGGTTTCATCTAAAAAAAACTTGCCATTCTTCTCGCAGCTCAAACAGGCGATTCAGAACTTTTCCACGCGAAAGCCAATGCACGTCAGTGTGAAATAGGAGTTGTGTGTAATCACTGCCCATCTCATCACAAAGCTGAGAAAACAGCTGTGCGTTCAGAGGGCGGCCTTTTACAAAATTGATTATTTTCAAAATTGATTACTTCCCGTTTTTAGCCAGCGATCCATTGTAAATGGGATTAACAAAAACAAAACAAAAAAAGAGAGAAATTTTGTATGTTAATACATACCAAGTATGTACTTGCTACAATCTTTAGATTACTATGAGTAGATATTCACTTTTATCTTTTATCCATCAGTATACTTCTGCGCATGCCACAAAGGCAAGTGTATTGCCCAAGCCTTGGTAATGTGTGGTTTGTGTCGGCTCTGCTGTCCTATTAGATGTTACTGAATGCGTTATCATATTAGCTACAATGTAAACCTGTGTGTATTTCTACTGTACAGGTGTACACCATTCTTATATATTAAATTTTATTGAATTGTTTTCTGCTGCTAAAAAAAAAAACGATGATAAAGTAAAATAAAAAATTCTGCTGCGTACCCCTTGAAACCTTTTCAGGTACCACCAGGGGTAAGCGTACCACACTTTGGGAAACATTGATCTAGGGGTTCCGTTTCAATAACACAATAAAAAACTGGCTTGAGCCCCCACTCAGTGATCTGGGACAATTACATACCACCCCCCAGGTGCCTCTAAGAGGCAATACTTCCCCTCTCGCAAGCAAGGAGTCTGAGTGCAGCAAAATCCTTTTAATAAAGGAAGGAAACGATGTGGCATTATGTTGGGGAAACACCACAAACAAGACTCATAACACAAACCATGAGCAAAAGATCCAGCCCCAAGTAAGTTTGGCAGTGTCCTTTTCCCCTCAGGGTCTTAAGTCTAGCAACCCAAAAATCCCTCAAAGTCCCAAAAGTCTCTGTCCCTGGTCAGTGCAGCCCCAGATGTCAAAAGCTTATCTGCAGAGTTTTACCTCCCACCCTGGGTGGGGGGGAGGGTCGGGCGTGTTAAGGGGCACCTTACATGGTCCAAGACTGACTGCCCCACCTCTCTATGGGGTTCTGCTGCAGCCTTCACCATGAGCCATTCCACCAGCCACTCCACTCTGCTCCACTCCACCAGCTATCCTGGGAACTGCTCTACTCCATCAGAGATCATCAGCCCCCTTATTTAACACAACATTCCATGATTTCAGCACTCAGTGATTTCAGCCTCAGTGCTGGTGCACCATTGGTCCAAAGTGAATTCAGCTCAGCAGCCTGTAATGACTCCTTATAGGATCAAAAATAGCTCTGATAGTCCACAGTGGAAAGGAGAAGTGCAGTTAGCATTTCAGGCCCTCAAACACAGCCCACACCACCCAGGGCAAATGCCTCTCTCAATTCACTGGGTTTTGGAACCCATGTCCCTTGTCTAGCAAGGGCTACTTAATTGACAGTGAGTCCCTCTGTCATAAAATAGTTCCATTGTCCTTGATTCACATAATCAGGATAACGCTTTATTCTTTCTGCCCCAATAACAGAGAAACTGGGGATCCCACAGCAGCCAAAGTGACCATTTGGGCTGCTGTGGGCTCATGCTAGGTGGGGTGGGTGTGCCTATGCAAACAAGATCAGCCCCTGGAGTTCTTTTCCACAACTTGCCACAATTCAGCATCAAATGTCAGGGTAGAGCTCATCCTGACTTGGCTTACACTTACCTTTCTCCAGCTCCTCCTCCTGCCCTCTTCTTTCTCTTCACCTCATTCTGCACCTCTGCAGCTGATAGTAGGTGGGGGCACAGCCACAGTGAGCTCCAGTTATCAGGAAACCCATTTCTGATGCAGAGAGAACAGAAGCACAGGGTACTTCTGCAGTACAAAATTAACGCAAACTTATTCTATTTGAATTTTCGGAAGCGATTTTATACATTCGGTGTTGTGTGTCCCCACTAAAGTGCATGAATTTGGCGGAGTGCATCCACAGTACCGAGGCTAGCATCAAATGTCAGAGCAGTGCACTGTGGGAAGCTAGCCCACAGTTCCCGCAGTCCCCACCACCCATTGGAATTGTGGGTTAAGCTCCCAGTGCATGATGGGACAAAAACATTCTCAAGGGTGTTTCTAGGTGTGTGCCATCACTCGCTCCTCCCTCTGTGAAAGCTACGGCAGACGCCATACTGCCAGCAGACGGTGCAGTACAGTGCACCGCCTGTCTCCTGGTACTATGAATCCACCTCACATGTCCTCTCGTCTTTCTATCTACTCTTTTATCTAACCATTTCCCGCCTTTTTTTGGCTACCGTGAACCAAGCAGCACAGCTTCCACCGCAAACTCTGCTCTCCCGCTCTTGCATCGCTAGCTAATTTTTCCATGTTGTCTGTCCTGGGCTTGCATGCAAGCTACAGAAGGCAACAATTCCCTGCCATTTTTCAGCCATCGTGAACTGAGCCGCACAGCTTCTGCCACTTTTTCCATGTTGTCGGTCCTGGGTTCCTGTTGAAGCTACAGACAGCAACAATTCCCAGCTGTTTTTTCAGCCATCGTGAACTGAACAGCACAGTTTCCGCCGCAAACTCTGCTCCCCCGTCTTGCAGCTCTAGCGAGCTTCCTGACCCTGTGAAAGCTACAGAAGACAACCATTTCCTGCCTTTTATTGGCCACCTTGAACCAAACAGCTCTCCTACGTTTTGCACCCTTTTTCCAGGATTACCCATGCAGGTGCCATAGCAGGCAAGCATGGAGCCCGCTCAGATCGCCGCTGCAGTTTTGACCATTGTAAATACCTCACACATTATCCAGCAATATGTGCAGTACCTGCAAAACTGGGTGAGAAAGCGACGACAGCGTGATTACTATACTGATGAGGACATGGACACAGACGTTCCTAGAAGCATGGCATGTGGCAACTGGGAGATCATGGTGGCGTTGGGCCAGGTTCATGCCATGGAACACTGATTCTGGGCCAGGGAAACAAGCACCAGAGCAGACCAGAAAATTACTGTTGGGGATGTTGAAATGCCTATAGTTATCCTCGGGGACCCAGCCTACCCCTTAATGCCATGGCTCATGAAGCCATACACAGGCACCCTGGACAGTAAGGAGCAGTTCAACTATAAGCTGAGCAAGTGCAGAATGGTGGTAGAATGTGTTTTTCAACGTTTGAAAGCGCGCTGGTGCAGTTTACTGACTCGGTTAGATCTCAGCACAACCAATATTCCAATTGTAATTGCTGCTTGTTGTGTGCTCCACAATATCTGTGAGAGTAAGGGGGAGACATTTATGGCGGGGTGGGAGGTTGAGGCAACTTGCCTGGCAGCCAATTTCACACAGCCAGACAACAGGTTGATTAGAAAAGCGCAGCAGGATGCGCTGCACATCAGAGAAGCTTTGAAAGCCAGTTTCATGACTGGCCAGGGTACAGTGTGACAGTTGTGTTTGTTGCTCTTGAAGTACCCGCCCCCTATATATATGAAAGGAAATAAAGTCAATTTTTTTTAAAAACTGTTTTGTATTATTTGTTGCACAACACATTGAGAGAAATCTGAAGGTAGACCAGGAAAGGGGGGGGTATTGGGTTAGGGGGGTGGAGGAGGAGGGAAGGACAAGTCCACAAACAAAATCAAAAGTTCGCATATGCCAGCTTTCTGCTGCTTGGGCAATCCTCTGGGTTGAGTGTGGGGGTCCCCATAGCCTCCCACCTCGTGTTCTTGGGAGTCTGGGTGAGGAGGCTATGGAATTTGGGGAGGAGGGAGGGCGGTTATACAGGGGCTGCAGCAGCAGTCTGTGGTCTTGCTGTCTTTCCTGCATTAGATCCACCATACAGCGGAGCATGTCAGTTTGCACCCCCAAAAGCTTGACCATAGTGTCCTGCCTGCTGTCAT